AACGTACAAAATTAAATTACTTAAACCAATATTACCTGACAATTTATTAAATATGGTATATTACGCTACAGTACAGTCGGTTCTGTTCGCTGAATCGGGATTATTAACGATTCGACAATTGTATCTGCAAAAGATTGCTACTTTTACTTTTGAGCGCAAAGATACATATAGATAAAGTGCTTGCCCATGAACATTATACTAGAAGCAACCAAAAAACGTTAATAATTCCTAAAACGAGTACTTCGCATGCCCATCATCATGCATTATACTTGGGTGTTAAGCTTTATAATAAAATGCCTATCTATTTAAAAAATTGCGAGACCCTACATTCGTTTAAGAAAAGGTTTAAGGATTGGCTATTAGGTGTAGAATTGGATTTTTACTCCAAGCTAACGTGATCTATATTTTTGTTTTGTTCTTTTTTTTTGTATTAGTGTACTTACATGTAATATACTCGATTACCCATCACGCACGAGCCTTGGCTTATGTGATTGTTGCCATTTTTTTCATTATATCAATAAATAATTATATTATGCTAAATAAATACAAATACAAATACTGTTAACTTTCACGTAATCTGTTCCTGTCGCATACAACTATTTGATTCAAACCTTTATGATTTTTTCAAAGAGAGTTCGAGAACAATGCATCTTAACTGAAAACGGAATTATTTCAATTGTATTCACAGTCGTAGTATAAGTTCAGCTTAACAACTGTTGTGGTAATGAAATTTGTCAGATTCTGTATATCTGCTACAAAGCAGAGATTAAGTTTATAATCTCCAACATTCTGCCTGGGGATGAAGACAAAAGGTCATTGTGTTTAACTCAAACACACATGTGAATTTCGTTTTTGTTTTATTACATAACCGCTCTTATTTGGATCTTGTTAGAGAATTAATTGAGTAAGTGATAACAACTATAATTACAAGAAGCTCCATGAAAGGCTCACCAAGTACCTTACCATTGTTTAAATACTAAATACAGCTTACCTACATTAAAAATAAATTGATTTAAATAGCAACACGCATCTAAGTTTAATTTAAAACTATGATTGCGCAGCAGTTTCTCAACATACACCGTTTTAAAATAAAAACTGTACAAGCTAAAACTATAAGAAAAATTAAACTATACTTACACAACAACATTATACAAGTTAAAAATATTGATGAATGCTGACACTTAAAGAACTTAAATACTTGCATTTCACGATTGTTTGAATTTAAATAGCAAGATTTCATGAGACCGCTTCCTTAATCATTAAAGATTTATTTTTCTAAGATTAAATTTTGCTAGTATTAGCAACACTTCAAAATACTAAAATACAAGATTTCAAGTGCAACTTGTGGTAACTCTCACCTATTGTACTTTAAAAAATTAAAGTCAAAAATTTTTGGAATCTCATAAATACAGGGTTGGGCAGGGAGGTATGGATGATTTGATATAACAGTTACACACTCATTTTTAAACGAAACTCAAAATTTATTTTTTTAATGTGTACCTTAGATGTTGCCATTATAAAAATTAAAGAGGAAAAAATTAAAACATTGATTACGTACGAAAAATAACATCTGTTAAATGCTGTCCGTTTTTGTCCATACACTCCTGTAGACGCTGTGAGAAGTTGTCCCTACTCCTCTGAAGCATTGCACGTGGTACCGCTCGAATTTCTTTTGTTATTGTTTCACTCAGGGCTTCAAGTGTAGGTACGTGGTTTGCTTATGTATACACGTTCTTGCTAAAACTATAAGAAAAATTAAACTATACTTACACAACAACATTATACAAGTTAAAAATATTGATGAATGCTGACACTTAAAGAACTTAAATACTTGCATTTCACGATTGTTTGAATTTAAATAGCAAGATTTCATGAGACCGCTTCCTTAATCATTAAAGATTTATTTTTCTAAGATTAAATTTTGCTAGTATTAGCAACACTTCAAAATACTAAAATACAAGATTTCAAGTGCAACTTGTGGTAACTCTCACCTATTGTACTTTAAAAAATTAAAGTCAAAAATTTTTGGAATCTCATAAATACAGGGTTGGGCAGGGAGGTATGGATGATTTGATATAACAGTTACACACTCATTTTTAAACGAAACTCAAAATTTATTTTTTTAATGTGTACCTTAGATGTTGCCATTATAAAAATTAAAGAGGAAAAAATTAAAACATTGATTACGTACGAAAAATAACATCTGTTAAATGCTGTCCGTTTTTGTCCATACACTCCTGTAGACGCTGTGAGAAGTTGTCCCTACTCCTCTGAAGCATTGCACGTGGTACCGCTCGAATTTCTTTTGTTATTGTTTCACTCAGGGCTTCAAGTGTAGGTACGTGGTTTGCTTATGTATACACGTTCTTAGGGGTCTAGGACAACTCGCCGCCGCCGACTGGCCGTTGGCGATTCGCCGTCGCCGACCTGCCGTCGAACAAACTCGCCGTCGGGCAAACTCGCCGTCGGTCAAGTCGCCGTCATCAGAATAAATAATAAAAAATACTACTAATAGTGCAGCGGAGAGCCGGCGCTAACTCGCTTATTTGAGGTAGTTTTTTTTTTCGGAGTAGAAAGAATTGGGACCCACACCATTTTGTTCAGAAATGTTTGAACCTTCAGAATCTCGCTTTACGAAATTTTCCCGTGGTCCTGACAAAAGTTATAGGCCGCTAAAGTTGAAATTTACTCATTTTCGCGCGCGCGACTAGACCACCGAAAGTATTTATTTTCTCAGCAACTAAGCGATATACATCAATAATTCCTTTTGTAAAATGAAAGTACATTATAGCAAAATCTAAAGCAATCATATTTACCTACCTTGTTATGCACAGTTTTTAGAAAAATGACCGTCAACTTCCAAAATTCGTGTAGCAGATGAAAAGTGCGCACTTTGAACTCTCATAACTTTATATTTCACGATATCGATTTCCAATATTTATAGCTCATTCGATGCTCCAAAGCATTGTGATTATTTTATTTTCTATAACATTACCGTGAATTTTTCATAATAAAAAAGTTACGGTCATTTAAGTAAAAACCTATCGACCTCGCCGAGTCGGTAATCGCGAGTGAGACGGAGAGGGAAGGATAGTCAGCAGCGTTCGCTAAACAAGGAGCGATGCGTAAGAGATTTTACTATACTAAGAAATTTCTCTCCGAATACCAAAACTAGCTATTTTGGCCGTTTAGTTTACAAATGCATTCCGCCGAGTTGCATTGTAAAATCTCAAACAATTCATTAACTCCATGTATCTCAGTTCTTTGGTGAAATATATAGGTACAAATAGGTACCATTCCCTGTAAATTTTGGGGGTTACTCTACACTCTCACACTCTTGTGCTGTGCTGTGCTGTATATTGCAAGATCAGCTGCGACAACGGTATGATTTTGTCCCAAAGATTCAGGCTTGTTTTTTGATTTCACTAGACGATGGTTAGGATGGTATTGTAGCTCGCTGGTGGAGAATTCAAAAACGGCATAGGTATATTATATTGAATGGTAGATACCGGAACTTACTTAAGAGGATTATCAGCAGGTACTTAGGCTGTTAAAGTCAGTTATCTGGTCGTTATCTAGTGATAGGTAAACGAGGAATTTGGATTTCTTCTGTCGATGTATCTCGCTTTTGAAAAAAGACTGTGCGTTGAATTTTTTTCGTCTGTTTCCACAGAATATGGAATTAAATAAAAATGAATGAATGAATGAATGAATCGTCTAGTGAAATCAAAAAACAAGCCTGAATCTTTAGGACAAAATCATACCGTTGTCACTGCTGATCTTGCAATATACAGCACAGCACAAGAGATACCTAATGTGGAGTAACCCCCAAAATTTACAGGGAAAGGTACCTATTTGTACCTATATATTTCACCAAAGAACTGAAATACATGGAGTTAATGAATTGTTTGAGATTTTACAATGCAACTCGGCGGAATGCATTTATAAACTAAACGGCCTAAATAGCTAGTTTTGGTATTCGGAGAGAAATTTCTTAGTAAAGTAAAATCTCTTACGCATCGCTCCTTGTTTAGCGAACGCTGCTGACTATCCTTCCCTCTCCGTCTCACTCGCGATTACCGACTCGGCGAGGTCGGTAGGTTTTTACTTAAATGACCGTAACTTTTTTATTATGAAAAATTCACGGTCATGTTATAGAAAATAAAATAATCACAATGCTTTGGAGCATCGAATGAGCTATAAATATTGGAAATCGATATCGTGAAATAAAAAGTTATGAGAGTTCAAAGTGCGCACTTTTCATCTGCTACACGAATTTTGGAAGTTGACGGTCATTTTTCTAAAAACTGTCCATAACAAGGTAGGTAAATTGAATGCTTTAGATTCTGCTATAAATGTACCGTCATTTTACAAAAGGAATTATTGATGTATATCGCTTAGTTGCTGAGAAAATAAATACTTTCGGTGGTCTAGTCGCGCGCGCGAAAATGAGTAAATTTCATCTTTAGCGGCCTATAACTTTTGTCAGGACCACGGGAAAATGTCGTAAAGCGAGATTCTGAAGGTTCAAACATTTCTGAACAAAATGGTGTGGGTCCCAATTCTTTCTACTCCGAAAAAATTTTTTGAACGATTTCGCGGCTCTCTCCGCTGCACTATAAATGTTTGTGAGTGCAATCAGTTTGTTCTTATCAAACAAAACACTCTAAAATTACAATAGTACATTATATATCAAGGTAGAGAAGTACAGTATTATTGCGTGAGGACCAAGATTACATCTCGAGGCGCTTGCGCCGAGGGGTGTAAGGTGCGAAGGCAATAATAGACTTCTCTACCGTGGTATATATACTATTTTTTTCACTACTAGCACTTGAAATCCTCTAAATTAACATATTATTGTAGCGTTCTAAATTTGCAGAAATTGTGGATTATGTTTATGAACAATTTATTCTTTTTAAATGGGGCGGGAACGGTTAAATAGTGTAACCGATAGAGGACACTATGTCTGATGTAAGAGCGCATGCATGTAAACACAACTTATGATAAGAGGGATTTTTGAGCGGGACCAAGAAAAAGGCGAATGGCGGTCGTAGAAAAGAAACGTTCCCACGGACATAATAATTAACGTTGTGATTCGAGACTTATTTAAGTCAGTGGGGCTAGGTAGCGAAAATAACGCGTGAGTTACTGAATGTAAAATTAATTTATTGACAGTAAATAATTTTAGGATTTTGGTTACCTACCTATACTACGTGCAATTATTCCGGTACAAACCTAATTAGGCAATAACTTAATCTACATTTCAATGGTTGTCTAAAATTCTTTCAAGAGCCGTTTGTCACCTTAAGTAAGTTATTAATTCGGAATATTCGTCATATTAGCGTACGCGTTACCTTTTAGGGCTCTTACCCCTAAGTACTGGAAATTGGAAAAAATATATAGTAGCCGCCCCTGACGTCACGTGGGACGCAAATTTATTACCTGCACAAGTAACTGCGGAATACCAAGCGCTGTTCCTGATGATAAGATTTTAATTCTATGGTGATAAGCCGCCATCCCACCGTCCACCTGTATGTACGTGCTTTGATACCTTCACACAATGCTCTGAGGTTTGAGATAACAAAATTTGAAAGGAGATGTCAAGTTTATTTGTTTAAATTAAGCATATTTGTCTATTATTAATTGTCCATCCTAGAATTAATTGATAATGTTGTGCTGTCCTTAAATTGTCAATTGTTATTTAGAGTTATCAGTCCAATATTGAAGTCCGTTGAATGATCATTCATCTGAAACACAAAAATTACGTTATCGATATCATCGTCAAGTTATACTTACCTACCGAGTCAATTACCTGTTTAAATAAATTAATAATAGGATCGATTTTTGCATTACGTTATGAGCTTGTCCGATTTCCTGTCATTGGGCAAGTTGGTTTAAGACAGGTTGGCGCCCCCTTCAAACAACACTCAGTACAAGATCCACGACTCAGCTCCCAAATCTTTGAGCACTGTTAACACCCATTATAGCCAACAAAAAAAAGGGAAAGTCATATTATATTGATAATAGAGTTAACGGTTGGACGGAATTGTTTGTTTCTTAATTTAACATGTCAATCAAGTACGTGGAAGTACAAGTCAAACAGGCCGTATTTTGTTCTGTCATTGAGATTTTTCAAAGAGTAATTTCGTTCGAATTTTTTCAAAATGTGATAATTTTAGGTATGTAATTTCTCTGGAAATTGCGAATGGTGGCAATTATTCGTTTTAGAGAACTTGTCTAAACGTTCATTGAGCGAAATTTCGGGTTGTGTTTTCTAAAAGTGACAGCGTGACAGTTCTCATTATTGACTACTAGTTAATAATAAAAAATTATTAACCACTTTGAACAAATGCCGAGAAAGCCTACTTTACAAGTGGAAAAAAGGTTAATAATCATGTCATCAGACGCTAGTAGTGAAAAATAGTACTTTGTGTACCAAGGCGGGAAAGTGGTTGTTTTCCGGGGCGAAGGAAGGATTTGCTTTAACGCGTCAACGTGCACGCGTTTGTTTTGTTTATTTCCATGTTTCCTGCTGACTACGCGAAAAAATTTTTACGAAACGGTGCAATCTAAGTGGGCCCACGAGTATATTTTTTACTCGTAGATTTACCCCTTTCCATTATAATACAGTTCAACGCAAATTCAAATTCTAGAGCGCTTGCGATTGCACAGTGCAGAGTCACCGAAGGGAGTCACGGTGCAACAGAGCAGATGTGCAAGTGGAGAATACCGATCATGTGCGAACTGAGTTGACATTTCCGGCATTTCACTGGCGCGTGATTATTTCCTTAGAAAATAACGGGATTTAAGGGGTTGTAATTAATACCAGGCGCATTTGAAATTATTACTGGTCTTGTGTATTAACAAATGTGTTTTAAAAATGAATGTGTGTTTTCAGGGACAAAATCACACCGGTTACATTTTAAATCCTTCGCAGTATCCATGTCTTGTCAAATGTTACATGCTTTTAAGACTGGATTTATGCTTGGCGACGAAAGCGCAATGGGCGCACTTTAAATCCTTGATGATCTTGTATTTTTAAAAAAACGTTTTTTATAAATAGATTTATTCATTCCTTACAGTCACACTGGACACATTTTAACTTCGGGGTAGTCGCGTATGTTAAAATGCTAGGTACTTATTACGGATAAGCGGTGTTAAATGTATTGACACAGATGCTCGTTATTGAAAGTAAATGGGAGATTATGACTAAGTTTGAAACGTTTGAATTGGTCACGTGATATTGGGAAAGTATTCAAATTCACGAAACATTGTATTATAGGTTCGCGGTAATTAAATAAATCCTTGAATTCAGTAAAATAAAGTGAACATAGGGTAAATTTAATTATTAAATCAGTGTTGACGATTTTATGTTTCTTATTTAATTAAAAAGAAATAACTTCTTTGACATTTTATTACAACCGCGCCATCTAGCTTACATAAGGCGTATTTTTTTTCTCGCCTAGCCGACAAAATTGAATTTTCTCGCTCCATGCGTGCAATTGTCTTCTTTCGCGTCCTCACACAGGCGAGAAAATGTAAGTTTCTCCTTGTATAGGATAAAAAAATATTTTTGGTTATACATTATACATTTACATTTCATAATTATGGGCTAACCCCCTAAGATATTCCGAAATATCACTATCAATCCGTGTATTTTACGACGGATACAGGTAAAGGATTAGTCTGTCAGCATTAGAAGAAAGAAAGGATAACATACTTTGATGTCCAAGCACGAAAACCGAAGTGCAATTATAATTTACAACTGTTGTGAATTCTTAAAAGGGTGTAGGCGGTTATTAATTTTCAAAGAAGGTCTTTTTCACAACGGTTTAGGTACAATTTTTCTTACTATTTTGCATACGATAAAAGGATTTAGATCGTTTTGGGGGGCTCTTGGATCTGGATCGAATCATGATTTTTAAATGTATCTGGATCTCTATCTTGATCCAGAATTAAAGGATCTTACACAACACTGCAAATAACTACAGCATTCCAATGATGAAACGAGATTGCTAAATAATATTATATGACTAAACTGATTGCAGTTATAGACATCTAAGTGTTAGATTTAAATATTTTAAAAAAATAATCTTTATTTTGTTTCTGGTGACGGCGAGTTAACCGACGGCAAGTTGACCGATGGCGAGATTGCCCGACGGCGAGTTGCCAACGGCCAGTCGGCGACGGCGACTTGTCCCTGCCCGTTCTTTTAGGTAGCCCCATAAAAAATAGTCACAATGTGACAGGTCCGGTGACCGAGGAGGACACTCCATATTTCCACGCAACGAAATGAGGCGCCCAGGGAAGGTGTGCCTCAGAAATTCCATAGCTGCTCTTGATGTATGGGTACCACGTGCAATGCTTCAGAGGAGTATCGACAACTTCTCACAACGTCTACAGGAGTGTATGGACAAAAACGGACAGCATTTAAAAGATGTTATTTTTCATACGTAATCAACGTTTTAATTTTTTCCTCTTTAATTTTTATAATGGCAACATCTAAGCTACACATTAAAAAAATAAATTTTGAGTTTCGTTTAAAAATGAGTGTGTAACTGTTATTTCAAATCATCCATACCTCCCTGCCCAACCCTATATAACACTCGCGAAAGTTGACATTATATAAATTTATACTTGGGATTTTTTAAGTTAAATATTTTAAGTTACCAGGAACTCATTTTGGTAGCATTGAAAAAATTGTATTTATGCATAATATGACATTCGGTTATTTTAAATCACAAATTATTCAAATTTATAACATATTTAAGTAAAGTAAGCTATTAGCTAACGCAGCAAATGAGAATAGGTAATAATTTTATATCATTTAAAGAATTGTAGTTCACAAATCGGCAGTTCAAGTTGTAAGAGTTCAAAATTGTCGAGTCTCATATTTTAAGGTGATAATTGAGGATTTTTTTTAAATTTATTTATTTATTTAACGGAAATACCATTTTTCCTGCCATTTTTATAAAGAAATACAAAACATAATATCTATAGCAAAATGTAATAACAAGACGAAGTGTGACTATAAATCAAAATTACTGCTAAACTTAACAAAAAATATTTCAAATAAAAATCAAATGCATTATATTGAAAAAAGGAATGGTAAATTTCATTGTTTCTAAAAACCCTTAAGTAAACACCTACGTAAAAAAAAGAATACAAACCCAAATTATACTGTTAACCGTTGTGTAACATCAGCTTCCTTCGGAATTCGATAAACGTAGTACCAAAAAAGTTAATATTAGTACATAGTACATTTGCGGAATTGCACATCCTTACTATAGAGGAGAGTATTGTCCGTACCGTACCGTCCCTTCTGTGGAAGGGAACATGGAATAATTGTATATTACGTAAAATTCTGGAGGGAACGTTTAAGCATATGTTTGACAATAAGTATGGGCAATCTATATCAGAGTTAACTCATTTAAATAAAATGTACACATCTGCAAACTTCCTACGGGTACTTAAGGATTGTAAGTTCAAAACACACTGTATTTCTTTATAAGAAAAATCGTTACTATGTATTGCTATCTTTAATTTAAATGCCGCATATCTAAGAAACTTGTGTTGAATGGACTCAATTCTATGGATGTACTTATCAAAGTGTGGGGACCAAACAGGAGAGCAGTACTCAATATTGCTCCTTACTATCGAGCAGTACAACGACCTTATCGCCTGTATGTGTGTAAAATGGGCCGTAGTGCGCTTCAGGAAACCAAGTTTTTGTAGAGCTTTCGAAGTTAAGTTATTAACGTGCTGATGAAATCTTAGGGCCGGATCAAGAGTAACACCAAGGTCAACAATTGTTGAAACAGAACACAAAGAGACATTACCTATCATATAATTGAACAGATAGGGCCTAGAGATTCGATGAAAACGCATCACACAGCATTTAGAAAAGTTGAGGCACATATCATTGTTGTGGCACCACTGTAGGACTTCATTTAGAGAAGATTGGAGCGTTATGGCATCTGAAGCGGACCTTACAATTGAATGCAACTTAAGGTCATCTGCAAATAGTAAAAATTTTGAATTTCTACAACTAGAAATATCATTAATAAAAATATTAAACAATAGCGGGCCTATATGTGACCCTTGCGGAATTCCTGAAGTTATTGGTATTGCGTAGGAAGTAAATTACTTTATTTTAACTATTTGCTGACGCCCTGACAAATAATTAGTAAACATGTTAACAGCGGATTTTTTATGCCATAACTTGATAATTTATTTAGTAAGAGTTGGTGATTAACTCTATCGAACGCCTTTGTAAAATCCGTGTATATTGCATCAACTTAGTGACCGTTCTCTAACGCTTTTAAATATATTGTTGGTAAACTAGCAAGTTTGTACATGTAGATCTGCCTTTCGTAAAACCATGTTGCTCTTCAATTATAATATTAATAATAATAATAATAATAATAATATGATTTATTGCCCAACAGAATCAAATTCCAATTATAGGACAATTACTAATCTAAGAAAGCACAATAACTAAGTATACTAATATCTTAACCGCTAACCTAATAAAAACCAAATTAAATAATATTAAACTTGAACAAGATTAAAAATAAGAATAAAAATATTCCATCAATCTTTTAAGATCTGATACTGAGCAAGTGTTAATGTCACACATATTAGCAATTTTGTTAAAGTTGCTTACCATAACAAATATTGGTGATTTACAAAGTAAGTTTGTATTGGCCTTAGCACAATTGAAAGTATATAAGTACATTACGAGCCGAAGAACGTGGCACATGGAACCGAATGAGGGAAAGAAGAAATGGACAATCTAGGTTATTGTGTAACAAATTGAAGAGAAAGTTAAGGCTTGACAGAGTTCTGCGAACTTCTAAGGAATGTACCTGAAATCGAGATAACAGTAGTTGATGATTTATTGCTAAATAAAGGGGTGATTTTATCAACTATAATATTTTCAAAGATTTTTGGAATTATATTTAAGATTGAAATTGGGCGATAGTTACGAA